CAAACCATTCTAAAACAAGCTCCGTACTTCCCTAGACTACAACCCCAGTTAACTCCGGAAGCAACCCGCCGCCGAGATGAACACCTATAGATACCGTATAGAACCCTCATCAGCCGAATATCTACAAAGAGAGACTAATCATCTGTATAAAAGTCTCAACCCTCTAAACTGCAACACCCCAACACCCTGCAACCCGACTTCAAAAACCCAGATAACCCTTCGACCCCGTCCCCCACCCCTCAGCCCTCCAAAACAAAAAAGAACCCTAAACCCTAAACCTCAAAACCCTAAAGCCCTAAACCCTAAACCCTAAACCCTAAAACCCTAAAACCCTGAAGCCCTAAACCCTAAAGCCTAAACCCCTAAACCCCTAAGCCCAAAAACCCCAAACCCACCTGAAGCTTCTCGCTGATGCTCACCGCGCAGGTTGAGCCCATCTTCGCTCCCAGGGTCCTCTCATCGGGACCCCTTTTAAGGGTTTAGGGTTTAGGGTTTAGGGTTTAGGGTAATCGGGACCCCTTTTAAGGGTTCCTTAGAGAAACCTCTAGGGTTTAGGGTTTAGGGTTTAGGGTAATAGGGGCCCCTTTTAAGGGTTCCTTAAAGAAACCTATAGGGTTTAGGGGTTTTGGGTGTAGGGTGTAGGGTTTAGTTTAAGGCTTAGAGTTTAGGGTTGGGTCTTCATGATAGGAACCCCTTCTCAGGGGCTCCTCAAAGAGACCTGTAGGGGTTTCTATTAAGGGTAATATAAGGGTTGCTAAAGGGGGAAGACCTACAGTTGATGATAAAAAACCTGCATGAAGGGACCCTGAACTATATTAGGGTTTAGGGTTTAGGGTTTAGGGTTTAGGGTTCTATATATGGGAATTATGGTATCTTCCTCATCATGGGTAATGCAGGATGTATATCGTCAACCGTATCATTTAATTTGGGTTTGGGGCCTAGGGCCTCGGGACCTACCATTTCGGGCTATGGTTCAGTGCCCGAAATACCGTTCAGGGTCTGTACGAAATTCTTTTCGGGTATGTACCTTAAAGAACCTTGATTCATAACCCTAAATGTCCTCTGTACGACCCGAACTACGATTGGGGGTCTATTCAGCCCTAAGCCTAACCCACTTAAGCCCTAAACCCTAAACCCACAGCTTCAGGATTGCGGGGTTTGAGGGTTCTGGATTTTCGGATTCGGAGTCTAAGGCTTGGGGCTTGGAGCTCAGGGTTTAGAGCAATATAGGGGCCTTCAGAAATTAAAATAGGGTTTGGGGGTATATTATACTATACTTGTAATAAGGAAACCCCAAAACCCTATTCTAAATGGTAAGGCCTCTACAGTAGACGTCACACGCTCGGCTCTCGCCGGGTCGGGACACTGAAGTTGGTAGGTTCAGACACCTCTCCCAGTGAAACCCTGGAGCCTTGTTTCCTCGGCTACCGAGTAGTAGTAGTAGTAGTAGTAGTAGTAGTAGTAGGAGTAGGAGTAGGAGTAGGAGTAGGAGTAGGAGTAGGAGTAGCAGCAGCAATAGTTCTGGCAGTCGGCTCCAACAAAAAAAACATGCTGTTGGACATTAGATAGATATACATCAGGCGGCTACTCCAGACTGCAGGCACCTGATGGATAAGAATTTGGCTGCTTCCAACATCCTGAGCCGTGTGGAATGAGGTCCAACATACCTGCAGGATAGAGGTCTCTCTTGGTCCTCATCATTCAGAAGTCAGGCAGATGTCATTTAACTCGGAAGAGGCAACACACCTCAAAAGGTTTTATGTATGCGGCTACTATATACTTTGGCTCTGAAGTAAGTGCATACTACATGGATACATGTAATACAGAAGCCGATATGACTGACAAATATTACCGTTAGGGTTCCATATTATACCAAATACTGTAAAGGAGCCCAAAACCCTACGTACTCTAATTATTCACGCCCCTATCTTAAACCCATATGGGGCCCTTTGCCCCTGCAACATGCACCCTTTGGCCCTTTGGGGCTCCGAGACTCCCATGTCCTTCCGTGACGTCCGGGTCTTCTGCACGAAGCCAGCTCTGGCTGCTACACCATGAAAGCCGGGGAGGGGTTGGGGGTTAGGGTCGGGGCCTTGATAATTAGAGTACGGTTTTGGGGTATACTCTACGACAATTGCAATAAGGAGCCCCCAAAAATAGTATTGGTAATTATTTAGGCACCTATATTATGCTTGCCACTGGAGAGTTTGAGCTGTCCTGCGATCTAGGGCTACAGTACCGGCTCAAGTGTCAGGGTTTAGGGCTTCAGGGTTTAGGGTTGAGTTTGAGCAAGTGGCTTGGCGTCCAAGGTCTTCAGACTAGATTGCTTTCGGTGCTTCAGTTCACATGGAGCTCGTAATTGCTGGAAGCTGGCCCCAGCTTTGAACTTTGGTGCGTCCTGGACTAGTGTCTATACTGGTTGTATCGTGTAGGGTTTCGGATTTATGGGCGCGGCTACTGTGACGTTGCACCTAGCTAGGCCAGCTTGGCATTGCATGTTGACCTTGCATATGCCTCGAATTCAAAAAATGCCACTGTCCATGTCCAAACAAGCATGTCCATTGCCTGCCCGATGCCTTAACCCGACGCTGAACCGTAATTACTTTGAACGCTCATGCATTATAGTCTCTCGGCTTGTCCATGATGATGTCTGGGCGCATGAAGACCTGAAACCCAGAACCGGAAGTACTACTGCTGATGATATAAATCCTGCATAACTTTAAGGACCCTAAACTACGGGAATTATGGAGTATTCCTGAGTATCGAGAATGCAGGATTCATATCATCAGCCGTACAACTCGCCACATATGAAACTACACGGCGAAATGCAAGCCTCCAAGCCTCTAGACTCGAGTGGCCCTGGGCCCACCATGGAAGATGTCTGCATACTTAGGGTTTGGGGGTTTTGGGGTTTGGGGGTTTGGGGTTTAGGGTTTAGGGGTTTAGGGTTTAGGGGCTTAGGGTTTATGGTTTAGGGTCTAAGGGTTTAGGGTTGAAGTTTAGGGGTTTAGGGTTGGTACGCTGAAACCCTAGCTATGAGATACAAGCAAAGCACTTTCCTTAGTGTAAATAAAGCAGGACTTGCTACATCGGCAATACGACCCTGTTCTCGGGCACACCAGGTAGACCAGAAAAAAGACACCAATAAATAATGTGTATATAAGCATATACACTAACTAAACTACTTCTAGAAACTAGAAGAAGTATGAAAAAGTATAGGAAGTGGCAGTAATATGCAGAAGTCTTATTTATAACCCCTGGCCTTGAACTGACCGAGAAATTTAGTGCTTGGACCAGAAGCACTGGAGTCTGCATTCCTAGAAGGGTTGGCTTGGGCATGAAGCTGCACCAGTAGTCAGTGATAGCATTCCCGTAAGTATATAGTTCGTATATGATTATACTGCCATGTACACCCAGATCTATTTTTTCATCTGTTTATCTTTTTCATATATGTACGTATCTAATCTTATCTTTCTATCTATTTATCTATCTGTCTACCTATCTATCTATCTATCTACCTACCTATCTATCTATCTAACTATCTATCCATATCTAACTGTGTGCTCTTCGTGTCGTTGTGGGGAAGGGGGAGAGGGATAGTCCTGGTGCTTGCAGCAACCCGTGAAGAGGGGCGTGTAAATACCCCCTAACTATTCATATCCCGGTCGGAGGAAACCTGTCGAACGCAACGCAGAGGCCCTCTTTTTTTGCTCCTGTTTCACGAGCGATCCGGGGCACAGCAACAACACACCTCAGAACGTGGAACATCAGCCAGAAAACAACCGTAGACCTGCATTGGAAATTTGCTTCTACCCATAGGCCCCATAGTAGTTCCTTTTGCGGATTACCTTATAGGGTTCTAAATTCTAAATATGAACCCCAACCAAAGCCTGAGCCCCTGCAGACGACACGTGGGGATTGCTCTCTAAATGCACATCGTTCGAACACAAGTTGGTATGATCCCTCTTCTATTTATTTATCGTTGAAGTCGGAACTATTTATGGGACCGACACCATACTACACCCCCAGAAGGTGAACTAATAGCCCAACACCTATAAAAGGCTATTATTCTGCATGCTTTCGGGGTCCAAACATAGACTGTAGGATGGGATCCCATATTGCATAAATTGGGCTTAGGCTAAGGCTCTAAGGACTCATATTATAAGGCTTCTGGGCCCAAAGACCATACCATGTAAGGCTTTTGGGCTATTTTGAGCCTTAGGCAGACCCATCATAATTGTAGACCTTCTCTTGCTTAACGCCGGCTTCTTGAAGCTTGGGGGGTTTAGGGTTTAGGGTTTAGGGTTTAGGGTTTAGGGTTCCCTTAGCCCGGATTCAGGGCTTGGCTCAGGATGCGCTTTTCGGACGTAGGGTTTAGGCTGTGCAGCCGGTGCATCAGAGGGAACCCCACGATAGGACAGAGGGTTTAGGGTTTCCCCACTACCAGCACCATAGTGCTGCTGGTGCTATGAACAGTTTAATCAAGTTAAAAAAAGCGCTAAACCAGAAACCCCAAACCAATACCGGAGCAAGAATCCCTTTAAGCCGAAACGTAAACCCCCTCAAGATACGCCTAAGACCTACAAGCTCGCTGGGGCAGAAACCGCAGGGCCATATGGAAACATTGCACCCCGTCTTGGGCCCTATTAGGCCCTGTAAACATCTGTAAAGCACCATATAAACCATTCCCAAACCCTTACGAACACCCTCCAAAACACGACACAGACTCATTAAAACCACCCATCCAACGAAGAAGGTCTATATCCCAGAGGGTCCATATACACTAGCATTATGGAATTAGGTCCCAAAAGACCATGCCTATTATGGTTTTTTGGGGACCTAATTCCATGACAGTAGTATATATGAGTCCTAAACCCTAAACCCTAAATCCTAAACCCTGAATCCTAAACACTATAGTAGTATATATGGACCCTCTGGGATGTTTTTGAGCAACCCCCACACACAGATGCTCCGTCAACCAGAAAGCCTCCGCTCAATGGTCAGAGCCTGGAGATAAGATGTGTTCAGGGTTTAGGGATTTAGAGTCTACAGGGTTTAGGACCCTAAACCCTAAACCCTAAACCCTAAACCCCATACCCTAAAACCCTAAAACCCTAAACCCCTAAAACCATA